TATATATATATATATATACACACACACACACATATGTGTATGTATATACATATGTATATACACACACACACATATGTGTATGTATATACATATGTATATACACACACACATATGTGTGTCTGCTTTCTTTTTTCTTTTTTGAGATGGAGTTGTATGTCTGTATATATATGCATATATATACACACATACATGTATACACATATATATACACACATAAAACTCCATCTCAAAAAAGAAAATTATATATATGCATGTATGTCTATTTTTCTTAAAACAGAGGGTTGTGAGCTTTTCAACTACAAAAGTATATATACACATCATTGAACAATTAGAAAATTGAGAAACATACAAAAAATAAAATCACCTGTAGCCTCATTACCTTGAAGATATTATGTTTGACATTTTTCACTTCTTTATACTATGACTTCCTTTGTTGGCTTGCAATTACAAGCTACACCTCTGCCAAGTCATGTACCTGTTTAATTTTATATTTCTTTATACTAAAGTAATAAATGAATTTAATTTTAAAAGTCAGGCAGTGCTATAGAATCATAATAGAAATCAGTACTTTCTGCCATATCTTAGCCCACACATTACCTCCATGTCCAATTTCTTGAGACAACAATTTTCAACTCATTTAGTATTTTGTCACAAATATTTATGTTCTAATTCTGAAATGATGCATTTTAGTGACCAGTTGATTTTTCCTTTAAATAATTAAATTTCCACAATCTGAGATTAGCATTTAGGTTTCTTACCATATCCTGCCACCCTCCTTCACAAGCCTTTTCCCTCTGCCTATCTTGTTAATATAAATAATATACATTTAAAATTATTAATTTAAAATTTTTAATTAATTTAAATAATATTATTTACATTATTCATAGCTTAAATATTTTTAACCGTACTAATTATTTGAAATTTTCATAGCTTAGCCATTTTATAGTTAATCCAAATTTTGTTGTTCATGGATTTAATAAATCACTATAAATAAATTCACTTCCTCTGTTTTCTACTTACTACTAATTTAACATTACAGTTACATTATATATTTTGTTTTAATCACTCCTCTTATTTCCTGTAGCTCATTGCTATCATGTTCTGATTGAAACTGGCTCTTTTTGGGCTGCTGAAATGCTGTCTTTTTATAGATTAACTTCATTATCATTTTCAGAATTCTCTTCACTTTTTTTGCCTCTAATTCTTGGACATTTCTTGATTGCCATAGCAAATATTAGCTTAACCATTCTATTTCTTCCCTGACATTTAGCAAAGTAGAGAAACTTAAAACCTCAGTCAATCATGACAACTATCAGTATTCATCTCATTCACCTTTCCAAGTACTAAAATCTTATGATTAACTTTCTTCTTACTGTCGTCTTCTTCCCTCTGTTTTTGTGAATTAAAAACATTTTAATTTCTTTAATATAATCTTAGTAGGTTTCTGACGAGAGTAGATGTCTTCATTCTACCACGTTTAACTTGAAGTTAGGAGTAGCCAGGTGACAAAATTGTTATTAGGATAAAATCTGATAGCGTATATGAAAGCAGTTTATTCACTATAATGCTCTATACATGCCAGGGATTATTGCAGTACACAAACAAAAGCTTTTTCAGATATTTTTCATCAGTGGAAACAAGTGAGATTACTTTAATAGCACTAAGTCAGCTGTTCCTGGCTTTTACTCACCATCATTTTCATAAAGCCTTATCCCCATTAAATCCTCATCCAGATTTTTGGGAGTTTCCAGAACTAAGAAACATTACTTTAAAACTTAGTTTTAGTACAATGCAAGGTGTTTTTAGTCACTTGGGTAGAAATCAGTATATAAGGCAATGATTTCCTTCACTTTATATTCTAGCCCTGGAAGAAACGTACCAGACTACCAATACAATTCAGCAATCTAGCATAATAGAAGATGGTAAATGCTATGGAAAAATGAAAAGTGTTTCTAGTATAAGGAGTTTGGAAGTGTTGGAGTTGGGAGAGGCTGCAATTTAAAGTGGAATAGTCAGTGTGGGCCTCATTGAGAAGGTGACTTTTTAAGAAAAATTTAAAGTAGGTGAGTTGATGAAGCAATATTTATATCTGGGGGAAGAATGTTGCAGACAAAAAGAACTGCAAGGTGGGGGTACGCTAGTACCTGATAGGTTTGAGGACAGTGTTTTTGCAGCAAATGAGTAAAAGGGAAACACAAGAATGGAGATGGTGAAGGAGTGCAGATCCTATACAGCCATTGTCAAGGAACTTGACATTTGTTTTTTTTACTGAGGTGGAGTCCCTCAGTTAGAGTTTAGTTAAGGTACATGATGCTCCTTATGTTGTAAAAAGATTACTCCACATATCAAAAGGTGCTTTACATCGTATATCATTAAGGAATTGCAAATTAAAACAACAATGGGATACTATTGCATACCTATTAGGATGGCCAAAATTCAGAAGACTGACAACACCAAATGCTGGTGAGGATGTGGAGAAACAGGAACTCTTCATTCATTGCTGCTAGAACTTCAAAAGGGTACAGACACTTTGGAAGATAGGTCAGTAGTTTTGCTACAAAACTAAACATACAATCCAACAAACATGCTCTTGGTATTTACCCAAAGGAGTTAAAAACTTATGTCTCCACAAAACCTTGCATATGCATATTAACAGTAGCTTTATGCAGAATTGCCAAAACTTGGAAGCAACCAAGATGTCCTTCAGCAGGTGAAGGCACAAATAAACTTTGGTATACCAGACAATGCATTTTATTTAGCCCTGAAAGAAATAAGCTATCAAGCCATGAAAAGATGTAGAGGAAACTTATGTACATATTACTAAGTTAAAGAAGCTAACCTGAAAAGGCTACCTACTCTGTGATTCCAAGTATATGGCAGTCTAAAAAAGCAAAGCCATGGAGAAAACAGATAAGTGTTTTTTTTGGATTTAGAGGGGAGGGAAGAATGGATAGATTGGCAGAGCACTGAGGACTTTGAGGGGCAGTGAAATTACTCTGTGTGACACTATCATGGTAGGTACATGTCATTCTAAATTTGTCAGACCTACAGAATGTACAACACCAAGAGTAAATCATAATATAAACTATGGGCTTTGGATGATAATTATGTCAGTATAGGTTCATCAACACTTCTTGTAAGGGTGCCACTCTGATGAGAAATGTTGGTAAGAGGGGAGGTTATGTAAGTGTCAAGGCAGAGTATATGAGAAATTTCTGTACCGTCTGCTTAGTATTCCTGTGGACCTAAAACTGGTCTAAAAATAGTTTATTTAAAAGGATTACTTTAGCTTCTACGGCTCCAAGTATTTTTTTGCCTGAGCAACAGTTGCACTTAACTGAGATGAGGAAGGTTTGGATAGACAGATTTGGAAAAAGAACATTAGGAAATAAGTTTGGTGAAGCTAAATTTTAGATATCTGTTGATGTTTATTGTTTTTTTCCAACAAGTTTGTGAGCTAAAGCTCATATAGCATCTACAATAGATGTTTTTTTCTGTCCCTCTACTGATGGCCACTTCCAAAATGCCACTTGAAGATGTCTGCAGTCCTCATGAGAACACTGATATCTATGCCAAAGGTTCTTAGCATAGTGCTCCAGTAAATGCCAACCCTTGAAGCTCCAGAGAAAGGCTGTGGCTATGGAGTCCAGGTCCTCACCCCATTGGCATTACTTATGGTCCATGTCTTCAGCAATCTCCTTTACCTTCTATCTACAATTTCTTCCTCCCAAGGTTGAGGCATAAAGTCTCTTAGACTGAGACTTGTAATCTTTTCTTTTCCTCTTCATTTATCCTATACCCTTCAACTCCAAACTTTTACCAACTCTCTTCCCTCACTCACCATAATTCAAATATTACCTTTCTGGTTCTGGTTCTGGACATGTTGGATTCTCTGCTTGGGCTACTGTTAAATTACAATCATTTTTATGGACTCCACACTAGGAAAAAGTTTAAAGCAGAAAATGGTGCGACGTATACTGCAGTGGAGTCCCAAATGTAACAGAGACAACTTCCATCACCTAATTATTGTTTATTTAGGTTCTAGTGGAAAGCATTAATTCAGTGGTGTAGCATAAAAGTATGACACAGCAGTGACACATCAAGAATCCACTAATTTACTATTTAGACATCTCCGTGACCAAAATGTTTCCAGACATCCATTTTTTAATTTTTGTCTATTTGTCCTTCCTCAGACTATCTGAATAGATTTCTGGACATTTCCACCAACTGAAGTAACTATTCCTTAATTTGATGTTTTGGAATTACAGATGTCTTTAATACTTTAAATTGATAATCCAGACCTCAGATCAGCTTGTTTTTATAATATCTTCATATGGAGGTGGGGAGCCTAAAATTTCTTCATATGGAACAGGATACAGGTCAGGGGTTTGAGCCTGAAGGTGAATTCCAACAGTTGGACTCACAGCTGCTTCTGTCCCTGGAAAGAGAAAGATGAAGACTTGTAATCTTTCTAGTGAGCATAGAACATAAGTACATGAACTGCCTGAAAAAATCTGGCATTTCTTGGATCACTGAAGCAACAGAAAATTATTTGTATCCATGAGAAAAAATTTACAACCATCTTGCTCTTTGCAGTGAAAGTTTAGTCACATAACAAACAAAAAGAATTGGTTGCATGAACTGATGATATCATCATTATCTAACCCATCAAGCAGTATTTACAACGTAGGAGCTGAAACTAGAAGGAATATCATCTCTTGTAGATCGCAAGACAGGAGTCCTCTAAACACTAATGGCATTTCAGCTAATGCTCCCATCATGGGAGATATACGTTGCATTATAAACATTAAAATATCACTTTCGAAATTTTATTAGTTTACATTTATGCTTGCAAATTTCAATACAAATTAATAATTATCTCTAGTAAGTAGTAAAAATTTTAAGTTCAGTGATGAAAAGTGTGCATTTAAAGTATACACACACAATACAGAGAATACATTTTAAAATAGTTTTTTTAAAATACTTTGAAATCAAAGTTCTTGACTTCTAGATTATGCATCATACAGACCATTAAATATTACAAACTGGCCTTTTCTTCCACTAACTGGTAACCTTGAAAGACTATGCACTTATTTTAATGGCTCTTTTGGAAATTGACTGTTAGTATTTCCTTGAAAGACTGTGTTTGGGACAGGACCCCCAAAATAGCGGTATTTTATAACCATCTTTATATTAATATATGGCTATATATAGAAAGATGGTCACACACACACACACACACACACACACACACACACACACATGCTTATATGTAAAGAATACATATATTCACCTGGATCTTTACCTACCTTTAAATGATATTGACTGTTTTTTGCCAAAACCATAGCAGCCAACAAAAATTCATCTTTAAAAAGAAACAAGTCCCTTGAACTAAATCTGACCTCTGGATGATTTTGTATACTGAATTTATGAAACACAATCATATCCATACATTTACATGTTGTCTATGGCTGCTGTGCACTACCATGGCAGAGGTGAATAGTCCCCACATAGACTATGTTTTGCAAAGCCAAAAATATTTTCTATCTGGCTGTTCATTGAAAAAGTTTGCTGATCTTTCTTAAAGGAGTAAGATTGGATGCCATTAGGAATATTACAAAGAACATGCCACAATGATCAAAAGAATTCAAAGAGCAGTTGCATATTAGACATTAACTGCTTCCCTACCATCCATATGGAGGTGACTCAAAATGATTGCTTTGAAGTGAATAATATAATTTACAATAACGAATTTTCATACATTTGTGTTTGTCTTATTTCTTGTTTCACTGGTACAGAGCAAAGACTAATAATTCAAATATGTAAAGGGTGGGGTCATATTTAGAATATATGTCTCACCTATGGTTTAGCATTTTTCTTAGCATTAACTATTTAACTAGTCTATTTTTAGACTCTTACATAATATTTCTTTACCTCGATTTTCTCTTGGACAATTAAGGTATAATACTAGTATCTACCTCTATAAAAGCAAAGCCTAATGAGCATAATGTACTTGAAACAAGACCAGGCACACAGTAGTCATGCATCAGGGTTTACTATTATTATGACAATATGTAAAGACTGTACCAACTCTAGGAACATACATGCATCTTCTTTCATTTACAATATTATTTTTCAGTCTATCCTCTTTTCAAGGTTAAATAATGATTTAAACATGATCATTATTAATTATAATATAGAAGTTATTAAGTGAAAAGTATCATGGAGTCAGAGCCCTTTGCAGTTTGTAAATTTGGGTCGATGTCAGATAAGTCTGTGGGACTTGATCAATCAGAGTTAACACAGGTAAACTGTACTTACCCCAGTAATTTCCTCCATTGTGAATATTTGTACTGAATGATGGCTATTTTCTTGGTGAACTGCTTCTAGTGAATTTAGTACAAAGTCAAAGTAACTTAACTATCTTTCTGCTTAGACATGTTCAACCAAACTGACTTGACACAACTATTATTTGTACTAGCTCCAATTTATTTCTGCTATTGCCACTGTCAATATTGTGTTCCTAGTGATAGAATCTTCAAAGTTGCTTTCTTAGAAAACGTTCATTATCTTCTTACTACAAATTTTCTGTTGATCTTAAACTTGTTATTAAAGCCACAAGGCATTTGGAAAACATAACTAAGCCAATATGCTTAGGAAGTTTTGAAAACCAAATATATGTTCTATCAGTTTTCAATTTTTTTCAAAGCATGTTTACATATAATATCAAGTGATCGGGTGCTAGGGAGACGAGGCATTTTTATCTTTTGACAAATTCAGAAACTAAGAGAGCTGAATATAAAATGTCAGCAAAAATTTTGTAGATTTTGCAGAATTGCTGTCTAAGATGTTCAAATTTATTGTTTAATCTTGTATAACCAATAAACTTACTGCTTAGTTTTTATAGCCAGAGTTGAGATTTCCTATGTTTTTAAGAATCACTCAAATAGACTTCACCTCTTTCTACATGTTCTGTCTGCCTATTTCTTCTCTTTCCTTTGCCTCAATCCTTTTTCTTCTATGGGAGTGGCCAGAAGGACTGAATTTGAGTCACAGTTTTACCATCTACTTACTATGTTGCTTAATCTCTAAGTGCCTTTGTTCCCTCATTTGTAGAGTGGTCAGAATGATAGTGAACTTTCATAGAGTGGTAAGAAAGAATAAATGAGATTAGGGACGGCAAGTGTTAGCACAGGGCATGGCTCCTGGGAAATGCTCAATGAATGTGAGCCATTACTATTATTATGTCTTTCCATGAAAATCTGTGAATGAAATGCTTCCTATTTTATTACCGAAAATAAGTAACAGAATATTTACACATAGAACATGAAACAGAGGGAAATGGCATTTCTAAAAAAGTCATAAAATAAAAGAGTCCTGGAAGACTTGGAGGGAGAAGAGAACAGAGCCTGTAAGACCCTGCTTCTTGTTCACCTCTCTGCAGCTCTTGTTTTTCTCCCCAGCTCAGAGCACTCATATATAAACACTGCTGCAATGCTGGTGTTTCTATTTTCCCTGAAATAAGAAAGAGGGAAGATTATCCCTAAAATTGCAGAAGAAATGGGGCCAAGGAGATTGTATAGTTGAAGGGCAGCATTATTGAGTGATCAGCCCCAATATGAAGCTAAGCCAAGATGAGTATCCCTAGGAGGGGTGTCCTCTGGTCCTTCATCTTGTGATCATGTTAGGAAAGGCAGGGGACCTCATTAGGAGGCTTTGTCAAGCTTGAGAAAACCCAGCTCCAGTCCACAGACCTCATGGCATAAAGGCAAAGGGGCTCTTATTTAAATGTTATGTAATTGATTATGTTTTATTAAAAACATGGACAAACAATTATGGAGGTCCCTCTCCTGTGGTCTCAAATTCTCTGTTTTCTAATGTAAAGTCAATTGTTTTTCTGCCTCAAGCTCTATTTGTCCTTTTCTCACCTCCAAAACTCCAAACATTTTCCATTAATTATCTTTAAATGTCTTTCTTCCTCATTAAGACGGGCTTTTATTCAGCATCACAACTTTATTTTTAATAAAACCTATTGTCATTCTTATTTTTAGTAAATTAAAACAAAAACCTTTCATTTTTAATAAACTCTGAAATCGCTTTGACATTGCCTATTTTTAAAATACAAATTTAAAAAACAATCAACAAAACCAAAATCCTTATCTTTTTTAAAAAACTATTTTTACTATCTGTTTTACCCTGTCATACTTGTAGTCCTTGGATTTATGAACTGCTGAGAAATGATCACAAACAATAGAGATTTGGGATGCAGCTGGTCATGTGAGGATTTTAATGATTTTTACCTTCTTTCTCAACCTTTACTAAAAATTTGCATACATTCCTTTTAACTCACTGTCTGTGCCTCAATGTGTGTTTTCACTTCCCATTTCCACATTTGAGAAGGGGGGAGAATCTGGCTGCAGGTTAATATGGTTTGGATCTGTGTCCCTGCCCAAATGGAATGTTGAATTGTAATCCCCAGTGTTGGAGGTGGGGCCTGGTGAGAGTTGACTGGATCATGGGAGTGGTTTATCATGAATGATTTAGCACCATGCCCTTGGGGCTGTTCTTGTGATAGTGAGTTCCCATGAGATTTGGTTGTTTAAAAATGTGTAGCACCTCCCTCTCCCTCTGTCTTCCTCCTGGCCCAGCCATGTAAAGTGCTTGCTCCCTCTTTGCCTTTGGTCATGATTGTAAGTTTCCTGAGGCTTCCCCAGAAGCCAAACAGATGACAGCACAGTACTTCCCATACAGCCTGGAGAACCAGGAGCCAATTTAAGCCTCTTTTTAAAATATAAATTACCCAGTCTCAGGTATTTCTTTATAGTAATGTAAGAATGGATTAATACAGGAAATATTCTGTGTTTTCAGTTGTCTTATCACTTAGGAGACATTAATTAGGTAAGATACTGAGGGATATGGTTTGGCTGTGTCCCCACCCAAATCTCATCTCGAATTGTACTCCCACAATTCCCACATGTTGTGGGAGGGACCTGGTTGGAGATAATTGAATCACAGGGTGGTTTCGCCCAACACTATTCTTGTGGTAGTGAATAAGTCTCATGAGATCTGATGGTTTTATTAGGGAGTTCTGCTTTTGTGTCTTCCTTACGCTCTCTTTGCCTGCTGCCATCCAAGACATGACTTACTCCTCTTTGCCTTCCACCATGATTGTGAGGCTTTCCCAGCCATGTGGAACTGTAAGTCCATTAAACCTCTTTCTTTTGTAAATTGCCCAGTCTTGGGTATGTCTTTATCAGCAGCATGAAAATAGACTAATACACCGAGATAAGAAAACATTGAAACAAATGAAAAAAAAAAATTACCCCAACACAGGTGCTGAACAAAACATACCCACATAATACTAGAATTATTTATCTTTTATGGTTCAGGTAAGGAAATAAGAAGGTCTCAGAAACTATAGCATGAATGATGCCATTTGAAAAGATGTCAGGGCATTGAGTGAACACTTTCTGGGTTGTAGCAAAGATGGTGAAGGAGAACTGGATCCAGAAATGAGTGAAGTTCAGGGCAGCATAGTAAGGGAATAAGGGAGATGAGGAGATTCTGGAGCTGACAGCAGGAAGAGGAAGTGGGCCTGAGACAAAAAAAAAGAATTTAGAGTTTGATTAAGGTAAGTAGGTTAAATTTTAGTCCTTAAAATGTCTCTGATTTTACACTGTTTCTTTTCTTCTTCCTCTTTCTCTTGCTCCACATCTTCTCCTTTTCTGCCTTTTTGACTTCTGATCTTCTTCTCGTCTTCTTTCTCTGACAATACCTCTTCTTCCTCCTCACTCTCCAAGAGAGAGTTGTAATTAGTTTACCAGAGTTGTCATAACAAAGTACCACAGACTGGATCACTTAAATAACAGAAATTTATTTTCTCACGATTTTGGAGACTAGACATCCATGATCAAGGTGTCAGCAGGGTAGATTTCTTCTGAGGCTTCTCTCCTTGGACTACAGATGGCCACCTTCTCCTTGTGCTTCGACATGGTCTTTACTTTGTGCCTGACTGTCTGTGTGCTAATATCTTCTGATAAGAATGATGGTCATATTGAATTAAGGTTCATTTCAATTACTTCATTTTAATTTCATTGTCTTTGTCTTGTTATAGACCATATCTTCAAATATAGTCATAATCTGAGATACTGGAGTTAGAATTTGAACATATGAAATTAGGTGGGACACAACTCAGCCCATGATAGGGGGGCATCAGAGGGAACGTTTTTCCGTTTCTGAAGGATAAAGAGCTTCCTAATATATGATGCACATAGAGAGTGATCACTGGGCGTGTAAGTGCCAGGATCTCTTCTACTGAATCCAACAAACTCTGAGAAGCCCCTGAGTCTAGGATCCACAATTCAGGGGCACAGATCCTATGAAGTGGAAGGAAGACCAGTTATCTAAAGACTGAATCAGCAGAGTACTGTGAAAAGAGAGGAACATTGGCTCAGGAAATGCTAATGGGGTCTGTGGTGTTTGACTGAGCTCTAAGGACCTCTCCTAGATAGGAAATCTCATCAGACATTGGGAAGGTGCTGGGAACAACTTCCTTAAACCTTTTATAAGGATCCAAGCCAAGTGTTTGGTTTTTTTTTTCTGTTTAGTATTTCTTTTCTCTCTCTTTTTTTTTTTTTTTTTTTTTTTGAGATGTAGTCTTGCTCTGTTGCCAGGCTGGAGTGCAGTGGCGCAATCTTGGCTCACTGCAACCTCTGCCTCCCGGGTTCAAGCATTCTTCCGCCTCAGCCTCCTGAGTAGCTGGGACTACAGGCACGTGCCACCAGGCCCGGCTAATTTTTTGTGCTTTTAGTACAGACGGGGTTTGACCATGCTGGCCAGGATGGTCTCGATCTTTTGACCTCGTGATCCGCCCTCCTTGGCCTCCCAAAGTGCTGGGATTACAGGCTTGAGCCACCATGCCCAGCCTCTGTTTAGTATTTCTAATCAGAATAACTGGCAACCTGCACTGTGTAATAGTGTCAGTAGTTCCGATTGAAAGAAATTTTCTATTTTATATATTTTAACAATAGTATAATTTGTCCACCTCAGTTTCTCAGTCAGAAGTTTCCTCTTAGTTCTTCTCAGTTGAGGGCTGCTTCCAGAAGATCCGAAGAGTCAAACCTCTGCCCCACAGGTCAGAAGAGCAGTGCTATTTCAATTAATATATTCAATAAATGGTGATAATTAAGTAAAGTAAGCTTTGGAAAACAGATTAAAAATTAAGTTCTGGGAGGAACCCAAGGTTAATATCTCAAATCTAGTCTTTCCATTAAAGTGTTTCAAATGACCCATTTCCCACATTCTGTATTCAGGGGGGAGTATCCTATCTTCTCCTTTGTACTCAAGAGATGGTAGGGAGTCCAGAAACTTTATTTTATATTCTAACATGTCGCCAGTGTCATTCCGGAGGTTTCTAATTTTTCTCTTTCTCTTCTGAACAGGGACTGTGAGGGAAATTCAGAAGCACAGCCTGGTAACCTTGACATGGGCATATGAATCCTGCGACAGCTGGATTCAATCCTTAGCTGTGAGCACATACTCTGTGGGAGCTGTGGAGGTAGATGCTGTGGTTTTGACCTTCACCTCCTTCTGTAGCCATAAAAGTAAGCAGTTCTCTAATTTCTTTAGGAGAGCAGCTTCTTTTTATAGAAATATTAGGTAGGAAGCATCATTTCTATGGAGAAGTGAAAGTATAATGAGGACCTAGTGGGGAATGTAAGTTTAGCATGGGTCCAGGTTTCAGACTGTCTTGAAATATTGACTGTCTGAAATTTATTTCCAGAAATCACTAGGTAAGAAGTCACTAGAGATGGGAGATCACCTCTTCCTAAATTATTCTTTCGTGCTTTGTTTTGGAGAGGGGAAACAGGATTGCCAAAAAGCATAGCTCTGGACACCACATCCACATCAAAGACTGTCTGAATAGCTGTTCCCTGCTTGTCCTGCCCTCCTGAGCATCCCCGGGACATGATGGAAGATGGGCAATAGGTGCAACAAGCTAATGCTCAATTCAGTGTAGGCACAAAAAAAGATGAATAGGATGGAGCAACTAACGGGAATCAACAGTGGAGAGATTAGCAATGCAAGCAAGGATGGAAGAGTTTAAATGTTTCTTGAGCAAAATAAGATCTGGAAGTTAAATCAGTGGAATTGAGAGCAAAGGATAGAGTGAGGATGGGCATGAAGATCCTGGAGCACAAGCCCTACCACTGAAGAGCTGCTCTAAGGAAACGTCTAGGTGTTCAAACAGTGAGCACCTCTTACTCTCTAGGGCTGGGCTGGGCTGTGAGTGACCAACCCATATTTTCACTGGTTCTCTATCGCCAATTCTGGACAGTTTAAACTCGATTTCTTGACTTACAGTAAACATCTACGCATGTATGTTTATCGTTGAGAGTGAGAGAAGTAAATAACATCCTCTGAGATAAATAATAGCCACTTTTCCAAGTTGACACGTAGGAATTAGAGATAATATCTGAAAATTTTCAAATTACTGCTTAGCTTTTGACAAACCTAAAACAAATTGTGACCATATTTTTTTAAATGCCATTTATACCCAAGGATTTTTTTTTCCTGTTCTGAATGATTTCAGAGTACTAAAGAGAACGTGAGTCTATTGCCCATCACTCAGTGCTATCACATGCAGATTGCTAAAGCAGAAAGTACATCAGCCGTGACACCTTCTCTCATATTGATTACTATTTAGGCAAGTTCAGGAGCACATATGGAAACTACAATGTAAGAAATATAAAAACACTAGACAAAGAAGTATATAACCATGGCACATAAACTGCTTTAAAAATTATAACAGGAAAACTGACTAGCTTAATAATATACTTAAAATATAAAAGTAAATTCTTTTAAGATTCAAGATAAAAATTCTTTCTCAAAGTGAGAGTAGAGCTAAAAATACCAGGCTGCGTTTTTCTTTTTAGAAACTTAAGTTCAGATTAAAAAGCATAATTGCATTTACTTATTAAATACCTCTAGGTAAATAAAGAAAAATAGTCCAATGTTACCAGTTGACTCCTTTGACTAATGTATTTTGTTAAAAGATCAATAACCCTATTTCCCTCTATGCCCCTAGGAAAGGGCTTTTGATTTTAAGAGAAAGAACTTATTGTTATTGGAGACTTCAATTATCCTTTCTAAAATAACCATTTCCCAAACTGGTAATGTGTTGCCTCTGTTAAGTAACAACTTCTGAAAGAGAAAAAAGGTGGAAGTGAATACAATCATCATGTTAGAAAACTGAGTTTGATGTTAGCACATTTTTGTTTATTTTTACCCCACTTTTCATCTAGCTGTTAGCTTTTCTCAAGGCACACCTTGCTCCATCTATTGAAAATTTCATGGTGGCTCAAGTTTCTGAAAGATGGCTTTAGTTATTATCTCTGTTAAGTACTCTTGAAGTAAGCGTAGTGTGGAATGCAGTCCCTTAGAATAAAGTCTCACAACAGTCCCTGGTTGGGACAACAACACCTATCAATTATGACCTCCCAGAAATCAGTACGTTGCTGGGTTTTTTCTACTCACAGCTGAGGCTGGCAGCTACAAATAACTCTAAGCCCTTAATTTCCTCATTCTTTATTTCGTTATGCAAACTGGAAAATGAAGGAAAGGGCGTGGTTTTCGGAGAGGGGTTGGGCGCTGACAGGATCGGGATGCTGAGATCAAAGGGCATGAAAATTGACCTTTTCCTGACCATTCCATGGAATTTCAGATTCTGCACTGACCGCAGACAATCCGGAAAGTTTTGTTCAATGTTACTTCAGATGAGTTCAGTAAAGCATAGGAAGCTCAATAAATGAAATTACAAATACAAGTTAAGATAGGTTGGTAATAAAAGCTCAGAGGTGCTTTTCAGTACCGTCAACCCTACCATTCACCCGGACTGTCCAGCCCTTCTCTTCTCTTCTGCTTGCTGAACACAAAATATTTAGTTGCTGTCCCTATACCCAACTGTGGGTCGGTTCCCCAGACACGTTTTCTTTCTTCTGGGAGTGTCTTTCTTTTGAAATTTTCTCCCTTAAACTCTCCTCAATGCAGGCCTTTCTGTCTCCAATAAGCCATATTTTTTTCCAAGTTCACAAATCTGCTTTTGGGAGAATAGTTTCTAAATTCACTACAAAACCACTAAGTTTCTAAAAGGAGTCCAAAGTGTGTAGACAACTCACCATAAATGGAGTCCAAGTCTCCAACAGCAAAAACGGCCATGGTGCGCCTGTGAGAATCAATTCGGGGTCTCCTCAGCCAGCACTGGAGGCAGAGGACCACTGCTCCGCAGAGAAGAGTTGCCATGAAAACCAGCAGCAGGATCCTGACTCCAAAAGTTACCAGGGAAGGACGAGGTAGAGCATGCGGGGAAGTTAAGAGCTTCCATTACTACCTGGAAGTGGATGAGGACTCAGCTATACCGGCCACAAGCAATCTGTGACACTGAATTCCTTAAGCAATTTCCTATCACCACCCATACATTTCCACTGAAGCAAAATTACTCTTTGGCCTCAGAGAGGATTGATCTTTCCAGGCGGTAGTAGTCATTTTCTCCTTGGGAACTGGAGGCTTATTCTAAAAGACAATGTCTTAATTTATTTGCTGGGTCTCTGCCTTTGAGGAGCTAGCAGGCTAATTGATTGAACTGACAATGTTAAGTTGAGAATATGCAAATGTCAAGATGCAAGAGGTTAAAATTTCCGAAGGATTATCTCATAGAAGAGGTACTGGTTATTTGGAATGTCTTTTAAGGCCAGAACTAATATAAGTGGAGGGTCATTTAGGGAGATTTCTAGACAAAGAACAATTATTTTGCTATTAAAGATTTTCAAGTCTAGAATAAACTCTTATTCTTAAAAATAGTGAATCCCTTTGTCACAACAAGTGTTTAAGTAAACACTAGCCAACAATCTGAAAGTGATATTTCTATATTGATTTGCATGACCCCTTAAGCTGCATGATTTCATGTACCATCTCAAATTATTCAGGACACAGGGTTTGTATATGCCACCAACTGTCATATAAAACAAATGGAGGATATTCTTACCAGATATACCAGCCATTAGGGTGTCGATCATTATAATTTACACACCTGGTGATAAAGGAAGAGCATTAGTCCTGGAACTCTGGATAGTCAAAGCCTATTTCTTTCACCCAATAAAATTGGTATTGATCATACTTGTTTCTCCAAAAAAAATACCTACATATTCCAATATCAGCTCATGCCTCCCCGCACCCAACACAATTATGCAAATGTATATGCCCACTCAATTCAAGGCACTGGGAACACAAGTAAATGTGAAACTGTCAGACTGATACGCAAACAGATAATTGCACTATAATGGGTTTGATTCTAGAGTTACAAATACTGTTATGCATTGAAAAGGCAGCGACTAACTCTTCAGGGACAACAAATCATTGGTGTTAGATGTCAGGCAGGTAACCATTATACTGTTCATCTAGAGACCTATATTCACTTAAAACTCAGATTTTCCAGGGAAGGATACCTTGGTAGAGAATAGGAGGCATTGGACAACTGGTTGCACTCTTGTTATAAAATTGGTGAGGGAAGAAATTAGGCTAGGAGGAAAATGAATGAATGTGGCCATATCTATCATTTGCTAAGGAGTTAGAAGTTGATTCCTTCAGTCAGAGTGGTCAAATCATTTGTGTGTCTAGCCACAACTCAATCATTCCTGAGACAAGTTTTAAAAGATCACAGACAAACACAGTTCACAAATGAGTTTTGGAAGATATAACTCTGCCGGTGTAGAGAGCCCCTCACTAGTCTAACATGGCACACTAAATGTAAGTTTGCTGATGGACTTTCTTCATACTTCAATATACTTTTAAGGTATTCTGAGCTTGAACAGTAGAAACCTGTTATTCGCAGTCAGATACGCTTCTGAGAAGACAGGATACTTAATCATATCTTCTTCGGCCATTGTTAAAATATTTTAGTTCATTTCAGTTTGAAGACATGCATAAATGTCAGTTCATTTATTGCTTCTAGATTCCATGAGGAAGCAGTGTGTCATGCCCATCATCATACCAATCAGAAATGACTTTTAACATATGTGAAGTGTCAGTTTAAACATTTTATCATGAACATTTAAGACAAAAGCCAATTATCCAGCCTACAGGTGATTTCATCCCCTCCACATATAAATATCTCCTCCTTCCTTTCTTTTCTCTGTTTTTTGTTTGTTTTTGCTTTGCTCTTTTGAGCACCCAGAGTGTTTAGCAAAATTCACAGGTACAAATGGCTGGGGGAAAAAAAAAGGCAACTAAAGTGTGACTTTAAAAAGCATCCTAAGACAAATGACCATCAACAAAAGATGTGAAAAATAATTAATGGAACATACTTGCAAGGTAATATTGTTCAATCATCAAAAATAATGTAGACATGTTTATAAATAAGCCTTGTTAAGTAAAACAGTATAGATCCTACTTTGCATATACTAATTTCCACAAGTACAACGATTTCACCAAAATTACTACTAGACATAAATATACACCAGACTAGTAAAGTGCTCACTTCTCCTGAAGATGGCATTTTGAGGAACTCTATACTTTTAATATTTTTATATTGTTTGACTTAATGTGCGTGAATCACTTTGTAGTTAAAAAAACTTTAAAATATCATATTAAAAATATCGAAACCTTAAAAATACAGGTTTTCTAAGAGGCGGATGTGGCAAAATTCTCTTGGTGTCCTGGCCCAATTAAAAAAGAACAAGGTTTTTTTTTCAATTGTGACAGTTGAGCTAATGGTCAAGAGTTTGGATTATTTCATCTCCCTCCTCCTGCTTCTCTTTTTTTTTTTTTCCATTTTAAAATAGCCCATATACTTATAGTGGAAGTCAATTCTAAATATTAACCACCTTATTTTGTTTTTTAAATCTAATCTTTAAGGTGTTCCGTTTTTTTCTTCCTGTGCTAACAATTTTCCAAACCGACTTATTTAACTTTTTCTTTCTGAGCTGGTGCACCCTCTGGTGGAGCTTCTGATAAGCAATAAAATGGCTAGGAAATAGCTGGAGAAATGCAGTATGCAATTTCCAAATTGCAGGCACCTTTGAGATCATTTATTTCACCCTTAGGATTTTATACAGTGTACCACTGAGACTTAAGGTGGAGAAAGGAAGAGGTCACTAGCTAGTTAGGGAGCTACACTGAAGCATGTGTCTTCTGGCTCCATATGCTCCCCTCCACTAATTATTATCTCCATTTCTTACTTAAATTCAACTTTTAAACAGAAGCTTTTTGAGTTCTTAAAAAAGTAAGAGTATCCTAATTACTCAAATATTACTTCCAAGATGTTCAGTATAGGAAAGTTATATTTTTGAAAATGAAGTTATGCCTCAGGGATTGGTCAAATTAGAATGATTATGCTGAAAAAAAATATATAATCATCAGGAAGAAATGAAAGCTGACTATAACATGTAAGAAAGACATTTGGAATAAGAATGAATGGAATTGGTTGTTGAAGGAGATAATTTCTGTCCTTATCAGAACAACAACTTCCTTTTGTTACTTTGATGTCATGGAGATGATTTCTGTACTATACAAACGGTTAGATGAGTAGATTTTTATTCTTCTCCTCGGTGCTGAGAATCTGGGGACCTTATATCAACTATACATTTATGAATTTAATAAATTCAGGAAGAAGTACTCAGAATTGCTCCGTTGGTTTCTCTGTTACATCACTCTGCATTATCTAGGCCAGGCACTCTTCTAAAACCTGTTGCATGACTTCATGTGAAATAACAGACTCTCAAACTTACACCACTATATGGTAGGGTCATACTATTATAATTCTCCTTTTACAACGGAGAAAACTCAGTTACAGAGACATTAAGTGACTTGCCCAAGTTAACATAGCTGGAAGTGGTAGAAGTAGGTTTTAAACAAAAATGGCCTGGCTGCAGAGTCCATGTCTCTTACCACTATGTAATGGTGCAACTGGGAACAGTAATATCCAGCTCTAACCTCATGTTACTGTGTGTAGTGTTGCCTGAGTGCATCCAACATCCTGCATTCTGAATGCTTTAGGAAATATTGAAAAAAAAAACTAGAAATGAGAGCCTGATGAGTATCAGACAAACAGAATAGGCCAATAGTGAGATCAGTTTGTAAACTGAATATAGTAAATACCATATATAAAATCTAAATTGAACTGCAGTTCTGACTTAAGCTTTCTAGTAGCTAACATAATGAGAGAGAATATTGGTTATACAGTATCCTCTAAAATTAACAAAATGAACAGCATTACTCACCAGATGTACAACTATTCCTGGCATAGAAACCAGAGAAAAATTCAAGCTATAAGGCCTCATAAAGAGAACACTGTCAACCATCAAGAACAGTGTTTTCCATAGTACTCTCAGAATAAATGCAATAACAAATTTCATGAATGCTTTTTCTTTTTAAAAAGTCATTCCTCAACATAGGCCAAAGTGTAATTCAGCTACAGTAATCTGAGAGAGGGATGAGTCTCAAATCATATCACCCAGAAATTGGTAGTAAATTGTTTAGTATCTCCAAGAATGAATGGACAAAGACTCCCTCGGGTATTTCACCAGATGTATAATTGATTAAATGTTGGACATACAATATAGCTTTGTGGTTGAAATTCGGGACTCAGGTGTCAGTCCCAGGTCCAAATCCAAACTCTGCCTTTTAATTTACTTTCCTACTCTTGAGTAAACTATTTCACTTTATCGAGCCACGTAAGATGAGGTATATCATTAGAAAATCTATCAATGCAATTAACTTACAGAATCTTTTATATGTACAGTCTCATTTATGTTCCATAAATTAATCTGGTTTTGTACATTGATGCACATCAGTATCCTTGGCTATTTATCTGTCATGTTTTATTTTATAAAATGAATTACTTATAGTATTTAAATTTTATACAAAGCACAGCAATACTTTGTTCATATTAAAAATACAGTTATAAAAGTAAAATAATTGGGTTGGATCAGAAAAAGATACCCTAGTTTTGAAAACAAATTTAAATAGAGAATAAAAAAAGATCAGTTTGTTTATTTATTTATTTACTTATTTTTGAGATTGAATTTTGCTCTGTTGCCCAGGCTGGAGTACAGTGACATGATCTCAGCTTACTGCAACCTCCACCTCTTGGGTTCAAGTGATTCTCCTGCCTCAGTCTCCTAAGTAGCTGGGATTACAGGTGCACCTAGCTAATTTTTGTATTTTAGTAGAGATGGGGTTTCACCATGTTGGCCATGCTGATCTCAAACTCCGGATCTAGTAATCCGCCCACCTCAACTTCTGAAAGTGCTGGAATTACAGGCGTGAGCCACCTTACCCGATCGACCTTTTTTTTTAATGGAAAAGATATGCAGATTGTTTTGCAGAATTTTTGGATCGTAGATGTTTATTAATAAAAACATTTTTGTTTCTAGCTAACCAGTGCCTCCTCCACATGGTCTCTACCTAGGCAAACCATGCTTCGTGGTTTATACTCCCTTGCATTCTAATCCAAGCCCCCCTTTTCTGTGTCCATTTTGCATGTGAACTTTGGAGCAGTTACCGTCCTTTTGTGTGTCTCATTTCTAAAAGACATTTGAAGTCGACCATCCTCATCGTCCTTTTCACTGTACTCTGTACTTTGCGTGTTAGTCTCTTACAGCAGTGCTGGTAAATTAATGAATATCGCCTCTTGGCTGGGTAGCGTACTTTAACAGGAGATAATATCTCAGATCAGAGAAGTGATTCTAAACTGAAATACCTTGTACACATATAGTTAGAGAAAGGATTTTGCTGGAGGGGGCTTTCTACTTCCTCAGAAAACAGCATGACTTTCCTTACAGATTCATCCCGCTGGCACTGTCTCGTGGTAACAAAAGATTTGCTATGTTGTTCCCATCTTCAATACATTTTCTTACCTTATACGATCACCCTACATTCCCAGCCACACTCTTTTTCGTTTTCTGCCAATCTGCATTTCATTTGAGGGATTTTTTGTTTTGTTTTTACCCAAAAGTAGTTGTATTAAATAATGATAAACATTACAGACACTTAGGTGCAAAATGATGTAGCCAAAGAATGTCATACCTAAGTACCAGTTGAAGTCCTACCACCAATTTACTGTTTCTCTTAGGTTTCAATTCCTTCATTTAAAAGGGAGAGCCGTAGCCTCAGTAGCTCTAGAGTCAGCATAAAAACTTTCTTAATACCATATTTTTCTGTCATGTTGATTAGAGTTAGATTCAATGTTTAAGATCCTTTCCATTTCTGAGCTTCTTTATTTTGTTATTCTGGGTCAAAGGCAGCAGATGAGGAGATAAAATGAGGGCAGGCATGAAATCTAGTCAGATAAGCATACAAACAAAATCTGTGTTACATCACAAACAGCATAAGACGGAGTGAAAAAGCAGTTCCAAAACTAACGCAAAGAAATAACAATGGAGAGGCAAGCAAAAGCTGAAAGAGCAACGCAAATTTAATAAGCAGATTATTAACCCTAAGATGATCCACCAAAAACAGGTGACTGCTCCCAGGGTGTAGGAAAACATTTCATCTAGCATGGCCTTCCGCTACACAATACAATCATAGCCTCCTGCTATACAGAGAGCATGACTTTGAGGGTAACAGACAAGGAAAACTGAAAACAGTGGCTAGGTGTGGTGACTCACGCCTGTAATCCCAGCACTTTGGGATGCCAAGGTAGGCAGATCACCTGAGTTTGGGAGTTCAAGACCAGCCTGGAAAACATGGTGAAACCCCATTTCTACTGAAAATACAAAAAATAGCCAGGCGTGGTGTTGCGCACCTGTAATCCCAGCTACTCAGGAGGCTGAAGCAAAAGAATCACTTGAATCTGGGAGGTAGAAGTTGCAGTGAGCTGAGATGATACTCCAGCCTGGGAAACAAGAGCAAACTCTGTCAAAAAAAGAAGAAAGAGAGAAAGAGTGAAAGAAAAGAAAGAAAGAAAGAAAGAAAGAAAGAAAGAAAGAAAGAAAGAAAGAAAGAAAGAAAGAAAGAAAGAAGAAAGAAAGAAAGAAAGAAAGAAAGAAAGAAAGAAAGAAAGAAAGAAAGAAAGAAAGAAAGAAAGAAAGAAGGAAAGAAAGAAGGAAAGAAAAGAAGGAAAGAAAGAAAGAGAAAGAAAGAAACAAATAAAGAAAGGAAAGAAAGAAAGGAAGAAAGAGAGAGAGAAAGAAAGAGAGAGAGAGAGGGAGGGAGGGAAAGAAAGAAGGAAGGAAGGAAAAGAAAGAGAGAAAGAGAGAAGGGGAGGGATTGAGGGAGGAAGGAAGAAAAGAAAGAAAACTGAAAACAGCTGGCTAACAGTAAGGGCTGCAGCCAGGAGAAGACAGCGTTGGGTGGAAGTGCTTTTCTGATATTTGCACTAAGTCACAATGAATTACAGCTATTACTTATCAGTAGAATTGTTAATGACACCTCTTCATCTCCTTAACAGGATTCTGAGAACCATTGTCTATAGCACAAAAAGTGAAAAAAATTAAGTAAATTATTCACATAATTCATATCACAGGTGGTTTGAAATATACACACAATACAGGTTAGAATTTTGGTTAGTTTGTTTGCATTTTAAAATGAGTTGTACAGAAAATCGCCTCCCTTGGTCACTGTGACTTTTGAGTTTGGATGCACCCACGCATAACATTGTGATTCTTCTGTGAACTTAAAAGTAACCTTGAAACCTTGCAGGAGAGAAATTCCGTGTGCAGAAACATCTGCAAATCAGCTAGGCCCCTTATTTATTTAACAAAACCGATCATAATGAAAATTACCTTTCCTGTTTTCAAAAAAATGAGTCATCTGCATTTACAAACTATTTACTTTTCTTCTTACGTAATTATAATGATCATTTGAAATTCAATTTGGCCTTTGCTAATGACTTGAGCCTTTTTTTATACTTTGAATTTCTCAAATACTAAATAAAAAACATGTAGTATTTCACTGTTTACTTACATTTCATCTTCTTCACATGGTAGGTCCGAGAGCACCAACTGAAACACATGTTTAGAACAATAAAATCCAAACATCTCATCAGTCTAATCCTTTAATACCAGCAGCGCCTAGAGACAATGTGGGTTTATATCATTTCGTTTGCTTTTTTAATTAAAAGCTCTGTAGCAGAGTTTATTGTCGGTACACAGAATTTTAATTGAAAAAAATCTCTGGGTGGATTCTTAAGCTCAGCAGTGGCAGAAGGTATATATTTTGAACCAGATTCCATTTTCACATACCAATATAAATGGATTTTACGACAACTTCTGTTTTTTCTATAAGTAGATTTTGCTTTCTCTAAAGAGTTTTTGTTCACCATACATTTTTTATTTTCATGTTTTAGCTAGAGGACAGAGGTTCATTATTTGTAAGTATTATTTTCACTCAAAAAAAAAAAAAAAAAAACAAGTTCCAAGTACATAAGTGGAAACATAAGTCAATCCTATCAGTAATAGGTATTAAATATAAGCATGAAAGGGTGGCTTTAACCTGATCTAAGGCTAAGGTCCATTTAAGATCACATGACATTACAGTTGATATTTACAGTCTTCTCTTTATCAGAGAAGAGAAAAAAAGTAATCATCACGGTTGCTTTGTTTGAAATGTTCGATTCTATAAGCATTCTAAAATAATGCTCTTAGTTTTCTGAGCTGAGTGTCATAGGTTACAACATCTCATACCCTAAATCACAAGGAAAAGGCGCTTCTTTCTAAACGTTTTATTGTTTGTTTGCTTGCTTGACCCTTTGAACCAGGACTCCTTCCTTGTGCAATGAGAACGTCTTCAAATGGCAATTATCTGTAGCTCTAAACACTGAGTTTATGAGGTCAGTTGAAGTATTTATTTTCCCGGACTATAACATGCAAATAAAAGTACAAGTAAGAAGTTACACAATTTAAGTGATTGACTTGGGAATTCTGTGTGAGATGCGTCTTCCCCCACTTAATCCCAAATGCATCTTCTTCAGCACCTTGTATTTACTCCACCAAGTTTATCTGGGCAAAGAGATTTGTGGAGTTGCAGATGGAGCCATGAATTGGCCATTAGAGAGCATGGTAATGAACAATTTATAAGCACAGAAAATGAGTTGCATTCTTTTTTGCTAGAATGCTGCAAATAGATTTGCATACTAAGTAAAAGGAAAATGAACATTTACATTTTGTCCATAAAGAAAGTTTATTTATGAGTAGATGAAATCATTTGGGATCCAGCTTAACAGATAAACAAATAAAGCCAGCATTTCACTTTCAAGTCACTTCCATGTCTTTTCTGTGTGCTGTACCCTAGAAACAGTACACAGTATTACATTATTAGCACCTCACTGCCAACACATTAGCTGTCAAACTTCCAGTTATTATGAAGAGGTAGGCAAAGCTGTAATATACTTTAGATCTAAATGTTTCAGATACCTTGCATTGAAGTAACACAGATACAGAGATACAGGTTAGTCAGAAAGGGATACTGGAGCAGAGGAACTGAAATAAATGCTAAAATGGTTCTGTCTACATCAGTCAGCACTGAAAAACTGTCAGGCATCAAGTATGGTTGCAGGCAACAGTAAACACATCTTAAATTAATCCAGCCATAGCATTTTTTTTCTGTGTCAATAGCATTTTGAATTTAAAAAATACAGCATAGCAAAGTTAAACAAAGGTTAAATTTGCAATCACATTATTTCAATAGCAATAGAACTAATTAAAGGAGAAATAAGACTAATGTTATGGACATTTTTTTGTCCCTTTGACCAATGAATACAATAAATCATAAGATGCTAGTAACACTTGAAGGAAATCCTTTAAATGTGGAAGCAGTTAAGTTGCTCACATACAAATCTATAGCAAATCAAGCACTCAGAGTACCCCTGAAAACCTTTTCCTAGAAAGAGAGATAGTTACCTGGAATAGCAGCAAACACAAGATCCCTAATGTTGAGATCACTGAAGTGACACTGAAAAGTCTGGATCTTGACATATTTAAAGGACAATCAGGTTAGGGTAGTGGTTTGCTGCCTCTTTTTACTTCCTTCTTTCTCAGAATGTACTAGCTTCTCTATAAGTTATGCTTCCTACCAGGACATGGATTAATGATGGCTTCTTGTGACTGGTGAAGTGCATGCTAGGGGAAGGAATGTTGGGTGCATGTTTGCAGGTACTAAGAGCCCAAGGAATTTGAGTTTAAGGTCAGAACTTTAGCACTGTTTGTCAAGGTCTTTAAAAGTAGGGGTTATAAATGCTGACTTACAGAGTTAGCTGGCTACTTAAATAACTTTCCACATTCAAGAGCATGTTTTATCCAGGGAGCTTTTGGGTTTCTAATAGTATCTCATGTTTGGAACATTTATTCAATTCTCTTTCCTTACTTTGTTCTCTCCTGCACACCATTTTCAGTTCCAGATCTAAACCAACCTTAGGCATAAATCTTTCCCTGTCTCATTGTTATGATATACAAGGTATATTTCAACAAGGTATATTTCAGTGTATATTTTATAAAACAATTCCATCACTACAACTGACAAAAAGGCAAGAATATCTAGGGAAATTCTGAAAAAAGAAGAGGCGCTAAACCATTGTATATTAAGATGTCTTAAGCAATGACATTGTACAAAAAATGGTACTGATAGATGTAAATAGTAAGATACACGTAAAAGAATAGAGAGTTCAGAAATGGAGAGGTTAGACTCAAATCAACAAATTTATTTAAGCTGCCATTTTAAACTAGCTTGAAGGGAAGATGGATATCTTTCAGGGAATGATGAAGAGCTGAATGGTTATGTGGAAAGAATGTAACAAATGTTTGTTAAGATGCTTAACCTTATTCATGATTAGATAAATATACTTTAGAATTATAAGCAGATTGGCAAGTTCAAAAACTGATAATATAGGGAGGAAGAATAAGTACAGGGAAACAAATACTGTCATATGTGGTTGGGAAAACCTTACAGCTTCTTTGGAAAACGATATACATCAACATAAAAAGGAAATATACCCTTAAATTGAGTATTCTTATAAGGTACATGAACGTACCCTACAAATACCCTTACACATGGCACAAATTATTATATGCAATGATGTTCATCAAAGCATTTTTGGTGTTAAGAAAATATTAGAAACAGCAAAAATTCATGAAACTTTGAAAGACTAAGTGCAAAATTGTTATATATGTTCAACAGAATACCAGGAATCTGTTTTAAAAGGTGGAGACAGATCACAGATGCTGATATAGAGAGGTCGCTTATAGTTACTGAATAAAAGGAACAAAAACACAGAATATTGAATACATCATGTTTCCTTTGTATGCAAAACATAGGAAGGTAGAGATGTAGTATTTTCTCCATCCATAAAATTTAGGCATATATATTTATATATGCATAGGATGTCTCTGCATTAAACTGCTAACAGTGGTTGCTCTGTAAAAGGGAAATTGGAAACTAAGAAACAAGAGTGGGAAGGAAACTTACTTTGCACTGTTAGTTTCTTATATTTTTGATATTTTTTACACTGTCTATATATCATCTAATTGTTTTATGCATACGGTCACTTCTAAGGGCCAATTTTGAAGGTCATGATCGACAATGCAGAATGAGAATATTGTAATTCAAGCTCCAGTGTAGTTCACCAAATTCAATTCAAATTGTAATATATGAACCAATTTATGATCACACACATAGATTGTGCTAGAAACAAACCAGCAGTGTTAGTTACCTAAACCACTCCACAGAGTTGGCCATCACGGTCTACAGATTAGTTGGGCTGCATCTGGATGGGTGAAGCAGGCTGTGCAGTGACCACGGACTGTTTAGTATGCAGCCACAGTCACAGCCATGAATTTCAAAGCAGAGGAAGGGCTTGGTGCCAATGCCAATAGGAGAAAAGTAAACCAAGCCTACAGTATTATTTGTCCCCAAGACACCCTCCATTTTGAGTGTCTCTGAAGTCTGTAATTAAACAGAATGAAAAATAGGCTTTTCACTGGTGAACTTATTTATTAGGCAGTCAGAAGCCTGACTTCCGTCAGCGGAGTCAATGATCTTAAGAATTTCTGGGAAAGGAAGGAGAGGCCAGATAACCAGAAAAGAGATAGAATGGAAATACGGGCAGCATATTTGGTTTTGCTTCAGAAACTGCAATAATGACCAACTAGATACATGGATTAAATAATTCTTGTCAAAAAAAAAAAATGCATGATTCTGCAGCAGCTGGGAGTATGTCAGCTGAGTGGAGATGGAGCCTATAGTCACAATAATACTGCAAACACCACTATTATATTCGGTGCTAAAATCAAAATTTCTATTCATTACTACCTTTCTCTTTCCAGATTGCCATTTATCATTTACTTCTGTGACTTCCCCATGCCACTTCCAAAGCCCAGCCTAATAGTTTCGGCTGAAGACATTTTTTTTTCTCTAGTATATTTCCTTCCCAGCATCACGACAGTGCGACGGTCATGGAATACAAAATCTGACCATGAGTGCAATTTTACCTGTATAATTTTAGAAATATATACTTAAAATTAAAATAGCTTATTCTGTGATAATTTTAAATTCACATCCCATCTTAAGAACTAATACGGAGATTCCATATACTCTTCATTTAGTTTACCCCAGTGGTAGCATCTTACATAACTTTTGAACAGTATCACAACCAGAAAATTGACACGGAGACAGTCCACCATGTGCATGATTTAAAAAATGTATAGGTACATAATAGTTGTACATATTTATGGGGTACATTTGATATCACTTAAAATGTGTGATTAATTTTTTTGTTCAACTGCATTCTTATGTGCATGAATTGATGACAGTGAATTGTCATTACTGGAAAGTCAAGCTGCAGATGGATGATTACTATATATAGCAATATGGTCTATTAGATCACTAAGGTTCTAGGGACTTTTTATGTTTGATTATAAGAGTAGAAGTAAGCAAAGCTTGAAAAGAATCTGTAGGAGAAGAAAGAGAACTTGCACTGTGATAGTGTATAAGATTCACCGAGTACTCGGATGGTTGACGATTTATCTACATCTTTGTTACAAGAGAATGGGCGCACATATATTCAACTTCACAGTCCTGGTTATTCAACTGGCTTTTTTCTTTATAAGAAGGACTATATCCTTCAGAAGTGGCTGGAGTTCAGGAAATGTGAAAACTATCCTCTGGATTTAGAGGCTGACATATGTCAAAATTTCCTGAAGCTCTGAAGTCATATCAATATTTGTCTTTAAAGGTCATGGCATGCAGCTGTTCGAAAGGATTGAAGACCAAGATTCAAGGAATTAAGTGTGAATAAATAGAAGGTATGAATAAAAGTGGGCATGCATAAAGGAAGGTCCAAAGAGCAAGCAAGGAAGCACCTCTACTTTATTGAAATTAAAGCTACTCTCTTTATTGAAATTAAAGGTGTCAGTTTAGCTTGTAGGAGGTAGGAAGCCTTGGTCACCAATAATCAGCAGTATGACAATAAACAGTTATTTATTCAAACTGCGTTTTCTAAAATAATGATAATAATGTTGACTTAGCTTTCTCAGATAATTTTATTAAAGATCACATTGAAAATATCGACATGAAATCAGGTATTGCCCAGATGTAAGATGCTGATTACTGGAGCATAAAACACAACAAAAGAAAATAAAATAGACAAGAATTTCATAATTAATTCAGAGGTCCATGGAAACAGTAGAAGTTGAGATAATATAAGGAGGACTTAAAATGAGGCAGCAGGCTCTCTGAGTCTTTAGTTATTCCATTTGCTTCTTCTCCCTAGTGAAAGGAAATATTGGTTACATTGCTAAATCAATGGTCAATATTTACTCATCTTACTTTAAGTAATGGACAACATTTGACATTACTTAATTAATGTTAATTAATGACATTACTTAATAACAGTTAATTACTTCTTGCTCCTTTACCTTCTTCACTTGGCTTCCAGAACAATACAGTTTTTGATTTGCTTCCCAGTTTACTGACCATTTCTTTTCAACTCTGTAGACCTGACATTTTGGGGATGCCCTAAGACTCAGTCCTCAGACCTCTTTCTCTTCTATATACATCCAAATAGATTATCATCCATAAACTGACAACTCTGAAATTTGTATCTTCCATTCAGATATTTCCCCTGAACTCCTGTAATTAACTGTCAACTCCATATCAGTTGGCGTGGGAGGAGATTGTTATGATATTTAATATAGCAGCTGAGCAAAACATCACAGAGAATGTGGTATTTCAGCAAAGACTTTAAGGAAGTGAGGAAGTAAGCCATATGGAAAATGTGAGAGGTGCATTTCTGACAAAGGGAAGATCAAGTGGGAAGCCACCTGAGAGAGGAGAATGCCTGGGAAATTTGTGGAAAAGCAAGGAAGCCAGAGTGCCTAGAAAAGACTGAGTTGAGAGGAGACTACCAGTTGGCTGGGGTGTTGATTGTTGGAATAGCAGCAGAAGAAAAAAATCACATGTCACATCACATCCATATCATCATTGGACATATGCTAGACTTCTGCAAATAAGCTCAAACCGAGCCTCTCATTTTTTCATCTCTTCTCTATCCTTCGTGTTCCCTCCAAATATTTCCTATATTAGTAAGTTAAAGCCCTTTCCTTTTGGTTTTTTAGACCAGAAATCTTATAAATATATTTTAGTTCTCTCTTTCATATACCATATCCAACGTATCAGTAAATCCAGCAGTCTCAAATTTCAAGCTATATACAGACCCGTGACATGTTTTACTACCTTGACTAACAAGTTTTTGCCTAAATTACTCACCAACCACCATCATATGTTACCAAAATGATTGCAATAGTTTCTTAACAGGGACTTCTATTTTTCCACTACAATATATCCTCAGTATAGCAACCAGAATGACGTTTGTTTTTGTTTTGTTTTGTTTTGTTTTGTTTTGAGACACAGTCTCCTTCTGTCACCCAGACTGGAGAGTGAGGTTGTGTAATCTTGGCTCATTGTAACTACCGCCTCCCGGTTCAAGCAATTCTCCTGCCTCAGCCACCCAAGTTGCTGGGATTACAGGTGCCTGCCACCATGCTTGGCTAATTTTTGTATTTTTAGTAGAGACAGGGTTTCACCAAGTTGGCCAGCCTGGTCTCGAACTCCT